ATATTTAGAGTTGGCCAAGATTTTGCCAATTTGAAAACTCGAAGCTGCCAAACAGAAGAATAGTATACAGTTATTCATGTTACTGATTTTAATGAAATTATTGCTATGCATTTCATATTTCAGTTACCCTGTGTCTAAATCATGTCTCATGTAAACTTTAGAAACTTCAGTTACAAAATTTATGTTTCCAGTTCTTTGTACAATACTAGACATCAGCAGTCATAAGTCGTCATTCAAGTCATAAGACGTCAAAAATACTGTCTCTATGCTCATTTCAATTACATTGCAATTATCACAAAGTCTCCAATTCAGACTTTGCCTCTTTTGGTGACTTTAGATATTTATAAACAAGTTGTACTTGTTGGACAAGTTGGACAAAGCGGTCTTTCTCCTTTAGTTAACTCTAAGAGAATACTACTAAAAATAAGCCAGCACATATGAAATGTGATCAGTTTAACAGGGTTGTAAGTGTATAGACACTTCCAGACCTCTTTCATCTTAACTGGCAGAGAGATGGAAGAAATGTTGTTTGTAGAAAGAGAAACAAGCTAGAGTTGTTAATGACAGGCATACGAGTTACTCACAAGTATCTTCAACAATATCTTTTCTGTCATTTAAAATAAGTGTAATGTGTCTTACAAAGTTTGTCATACAAGATTCAGAAAAACAAAGTGTTACATTAAAGTACAACTTGAAACAGACAAAAATGAAATTATTTTGAAAGATACAGCAAGTGTTCAGACAATTGAAAGAGGAGAATACTAAAAGGAATCTAAACCTAAATATTATTTCATCAGATGAGACATAGATAAAATACATAGATGCAAAGTTAAAACCAGAATTCTATTACTGAAGGAGAAGTCAATCCAGACAGATACTAGACTTTAGGCAAAATGCAATATAATGCTATACAGAGAACCAGCAAATGGATGAATTTAAAAACCCTCTTTTTTTTAAAGGAGGTTTATTTAACTTTTATTTAAAGTTAAATATTTTTTGCTTTATTTAAGGCAAAAGTTGAGCTTGATGACTAGGAACTCTAGCTTCATGTCTCTTACTATGTAGGTCTTTTCAGAAGAGGATTTGAACATCAACTTGCATGCTAGCCTAGTCTTCAGCAAGACCAAGGTTTTTCAAGTTCCTATTCATCACAGAGATATCTAATAACAGACAGAGATACTGTAGTGACTTCCAAACAGAAAAGCTGTTAGACAGCAGATGGACCCTTGCAGAGGATGGTAAGGAAAAGGCTGGTAGGCTGGTAGTGATGAAAAATCCCTATCCAAAGAAAAACCTTAACACTACTGTCTTCTAAAACTAACCATGTAAGCAAACTGGTAATGGAAGTCTATCACGTAAAACTGTCAATAAACTTTTATTAACTAATCCATTATTTACTCAGTGATTTAGTAATCTTCAGTCACAGGTAGTGAGGGCCTGTGGCTCTTGCATTTTTTATCCCCTCATCTAGGGAGAAAAAGACTCTAAGAGATACTACTACTAAAAAAAGTTAATCCTTAAAGCACACTCACTGCAAGAACAGAACTGATGTTGACAATGTCTTGAAAAAGAAATAGATGTTACTAAGATAATATGTAAAACAAACTTGACATAATAGATACATGCCATCTAGTGGGTATGCAATTTAGTATTTTCTAAGTTCTTACGAAAAGATCTTCTGTCTTAGCCAAATATATAATGTACAAATGAAGAATGCACAACATAATGCACAAATACAAAAATATAACATAGAAACATATTTTATTAGTATATTTACCAATCGGAATGATCGAAGGACAGATAATCCTTCTACATTTGCAAGGCCAAGCTCCATTAAACTAAGACTCACAATAAAACCATCAAAAATATTCCAGCCCTCTTGGAAATAATAATAAGGATCCATGGCAATTATCTTGAGAAACATTTCTGCTGTGAAAATTCCAGTAAACACCTGCAAGGAAAACAGAGTTTCTTACTCCAGTTTAATGAGAAAATATTAAAAAAATAAAACTAATGGTATCAACTTTTGGTAAGTTATTTCTTCAGCAAGTAATCCATGATAAATCTGAATAGCTTCTCTATATTGCCATACATCGGGTTTAGGAATTAAATTCAGATTTGAAGCTTACATATGCATCACAATGATTTGTTTCCAAAGAAAAATAGGTAAATGGGAAAAATATGTTTTTTATCTAGCCTGCTAATATGCATGTATAAATACTGATACACAGAATCTCTTCTGATTTTAATGCTCAGTTTTTCCTCCTTAGATCTAATCTTTGTCCTTGGGACATCTTTTTGCTTCTAGTGATAAAGATAAGTTTATGAGAGTGACAATTATTTTATTAAGAAAAAAATTATACTGAAAGTTGAGTAGAACTATTCTTCTTCAGAATGATCCATTGAAGGCACTATCATGCCATTTCACCATTCTCTGCAGAGTTGCGGTATATCTGCTGTGCTTACTGGGTGTTTCCCTTCTACAATTCCCTGAACACCCAGGACCTCAGGAGGTGCTAGTGAGGAGCATAACAGGTGTGGGAATGGAACTGATAAGTTCTTATGATTTTAAAGTATCCATCCAAGGAAAAATAATAGATAAATTCCTTTAACCAGCTTCAATGACAGAAGCCAAATGTTTTAAAGATCAAAATGTGTATTGATTCAATAAATCTTACTGTCTTTTGCTCCATAAAGCAAGAGTGGCGAAATCCACAAATGTCAACAAAGAGGGATTCAGTACAGCTTAAATTTAAATTCAACCATCCCAAGCCTATAAATATCTAGTCAACATTTTGTTTTAAGCATATGTACATAGGTCACAGAAGAATTATTTACTAAAAATGCATTTGACATACATGGTACATCATGAAAGACTTACAAGGTTTCCTACTGAAAGCACACCACTAAACTGTTCTGTCATTGGGTAGTGCTCCATGGCCATGAACAGGGTGTTTAGGACAATGCAGATAGTAATGGCCAGATCAACAAATGGGTCCATCACAATCAAATTTACAATATGTTTGACTTTCAGCCAGGGAGTACAGCAGTCCCAAATCAAGCAAGTGTTAGCAAATTTATACCAGCATGGTGGGCATTTCTGTCTGGATTCTTCCAGTTCTAGAGAGAAAAATGAAAATAACATTTTAAACATATTGCAGTATCACCTGGATATTTCCTTGAGGCCTAAATGCTGTTTTCCAAGGTACTGTTGATAAACTGTGTTGATATTGTAGACCTTTTGAAACCAAGGCTACTGTCAGTCAAAAGAAATTACAATTAAAAATAATCTGTCCCACTATGTTTTAAATTTGATGTAAAAAGAATACTGAATATTCAATAGATAAGATAACCATTCACAAGCATATGTTACATAGGATGCAAAATAGAAATTTGTCTTAGAAATCTGGCATACAGGCTGGGTGATGAGTGGATTGAGAACAGCCCTTCAGAGAAAAACTTGGGGGTATTGGTGGATCAAAAACTGAATATGAGCTGGCAATGTGCAATCACAGCCCAGAAAGCCAATCTCATCCTAGGCTGCATCAAAAGAAGTGTGGCCTGGGAGGTGGAGGGAGGTGATTCTCCCACTCTACTCAGCTCTTGTGAGACCGCACCTGGAGTACTGTGTTCAGCTCTGCAGTCCCCAGTATAAGACAGACATGGACCCGTTAGAGCAGGTCCAGAGGAGGGGCATGAAGGGGATCAGGGAGCTGGAGCACCTCCCCTATGAGGACAGGCAGAGAGAGTTGGGGTTGTTTTAGTCTAGAGAAGAGAAGGCTCTGAGAAGACCTTGTAGCAGCCTTCCAGTACTTAAAGGAGGCCTACAGGAAAGATGGGGAGGGACTCTTTATCAGGGAGTGTAGAGATAGGACGAGGGGTAATGGTTTTAAACTGAAAGAGGGTAGATTTAGATTAGATATTCATAGAATCATAGAATGCTTTGGGTTTGAAGGGACCTTGAGAGATCATCGAGCCCAACCCCCCTGCAGTAAGCAGGGATTGAACCTGTGAACTTGGCGTTATTAGCACCATGCTCTAAACAACTGAGCTAACCCAGCTGGTCAGATTAGGTAGAAATTCTTTACTGTGAGGACGGTGAGATACTGGAACGGGTTGCCCAGAGAAGTTGTGGATGCCCCCTCCCTGGAAGTGTTGAAGGCCAGGCTGGATAAGGCTTTGAGCAACTCAATCTAGTGGAAGGTGTCCCTGCCCATGGAGGGGGGGTGGAACTAGATGATCTTTAAGGTCCCTTCCAACCCAAACCATTCTATGATTCTATACATAGAATGAATAAAATATTTAAAATTTTCCTCATGAAAGATAAACATTTAGAACAAACCCAAAGTCAGACAACTATTTAGACAGTATTATGGTCCACATGTGCAAATCTGCTTGTTATTACTGCCCCATTTGCTATTTTGGGTATAGTCATTTAAGCCTCAAAGTAATGTTTTGCCCTTTCTTACAAGTAGTTGCTTAATTCCATGATTCAGATTCATTGTATCTAGCCTTACGGAAAGAACAACATGATCCTTCCTTTGTGAAACAGCATGACTGGTGAATCGGTAGAAGGGGATTGTTCTACTGCAGGAAGCATACCTGTTTCAGTAATCTAAAAAGAGCTTTTACCCCAAAACATAACTTCTCTAGAGAAAGACTGCATTGATAATTGCTTTCTGCTTGCATTTAACTTGGCAGTTTGCTGCTTCCACCTCAAACCTATTAAGATATTGAGAGTTTGACTGCTTTTCCAAATATATCAGTCCATCTTTAAAAAAAAACCTACCTCTATATACAAATCTCATCTTGCCTGTATCCTTTAGGCTGAAATAGCTGCCTTAAAACACCACTACTACTTAATGTATCATACATTTAATAGGACTTTATGGCATTGTCATACAAAAATACTGTGTTACATACCTTCCATTGTGTTTGTAAGCATGCTGGCTATACTCATTGCTCTTTGCCTTGCACTAGGATCTGTTAGGTAGTCCATAGGAACATGATAAGAACTAGACCGTCTCTTTCTTAAGTCAGTTTCTGTAGTAGTGCCCTGAAAATAAAACACTGATAAAATAGACTATTGATTGTTCATTTAATAAGAATAACACTGTAAGTTATTATAAAAGTATAATGGTTTAAAACACTCTGCTGTCCTGCACCATGCTCCATTTATGTCATGGTTTTGCAACACACTAATATATGCCTAACTTTGTGCATAGCAAATAGTCAAATACATCAGTAGGATTGCTCCTGTGCTTAAAGAATATGTTTTCAAGTATTTTGCTGAAACAGGGCTGAGACATTAAAACAGATTTTAGACTATAAACAGTTTTTAGACTATAAAAAGTTCCACAATGCTTGTCAACGAGCTCTGCTGTAAATATCTTTCTAATTAGGCAGTGAAGTCTTTTTCTAAACATGAGAATGCACAGCCCACACAGCTAGCAGTAAAAGCACAAAAAGTGTATTTTCTTAAGATAACTCTAATTTAGAATAAATTATCAATTTCCTAGCACACATTTTCAAACAAAATAAATGAAAACATATTTAATAATGTTGACATCTCCAAAAAGAAAACCCTAGAAAAATTAACTATGTGACAGGAACACTCTCACGACCCATGTAAGTTGTACTATCAATGTTATGTCAAAAGTTTTATATATGGTCAGTGGGAAGTTAAATACTCATTTAATATATTCCATTAAGTAAATATAAGTAATTTATAACTTTTTTTATTTTGATATCCTGTCTAATATATGAATACAGAATCTTCCAATTAAGCCTTCAGTTAGCATAACGAATCAATTGGTATAAGACTACACATACTACATTTATTCAATGGTTTACTACGCTATTCTGTTAATTCCCAGTAAATTAGCATATATTTTCAGTTTCTACTTTAGCTTATAACTGGAATATATGAAAGGAGCATTCACAGCTTGGCCAGAAAGGGAATCATTCCCAAGTAACTACATTTTGTAGAAACAGTAGCTGATCATACAGGGAGAGGACATCATGCCTGAGCTATTGCAGACTTCCTTACATTGCTAGCAGTGGCTGCTTTATCAATCATCACCTCTGGCAGAAGCTGTCCAGTAGGTGACATCAGAGCTGGCGGCCCACCAACTAAGGAAACTACTCCATTGCAATCCACAGTGCTGTGCATCTTCCCATTTGCTGGAAGTGGAGGTACTGTCCTGGATGACCTACTGGCCTGACTAATGTTACTGTTGCGCCGTTCACCATGTCTATGAGGAACAAAGAGAGAATCTCTTCTGCTTTCATTGTCTTCAAAAGTGCTGTGCTCATCATCAGCAAAGTCATTTTCTGATCCTACATCCTTTGCTCGACCTCTGAAGCTGAAAAGACTTGTTCTGCTGTTGCGCCTTGGGGAAAACAGGGAGCCACGAATGCTCAGCAAAGACTGTAGGCAAATGAAAACAATGATTATCAGATTAAAATCCTTTTAGATATAATGTTTTCATACAGGGGAAAAAAACATAGTGTTAATACGTCTTAAAGGGTAAGGTCATCAACAAAGAAATTAAGTGGTACAAAACTGCCCCCCCAAGATACACTCCTTTTTGGATAGTAAACAAAGAGCACATAAGTGACAGACAAAAACTAGCTATTTTACTACTTTGGGTATATGAAATCAATTGGTTTAATTAAAGTAAAAGAAACTGCTTGATAGAATTCTTTCCTCTGCCATTCTGCCTGTTTTATTACCAACTGTTCATAAACTAAGTAAGCACATCTAGATGCTATCTACCCCAGGTTGGCATTAGTCTGACAGGCTGAGTAAAAAAATTTAGGCAAATTTTCTGTGACTCTGTCTGCACACAGAGGTAGCTCCCAAATACTGCCTAGTTTGAAAAACATACATGTTTTTTCAGATACTAGTCAAGTAGGCCACAATAAGGTTTTTACTTCTTTTTAAAAGTCTTAGCAATCCTGAATATGAAAAGATATGCCTGTAACTTTGTATGAAAAGTCTCACTAATCTTCATCAGTTTACTCATGTGAGTATATGTTCTTCTACGTGAGGATCTTTTCAGGATCAGAGACAAAATAATGCTCTAATCTTGCAAATAGTTATACATGTTCTTAACTTTAATTCATATCAGTGACTCTCTCAACTTGGTTGATTAGCATTAGTACCTGATTTCACCCAAGACCTCTATGAATAGCAGAGATAATACATAACAAAGCACTTTCTTTGTTTCTCTTCTGGAACCTATCTTTATGGACCTGAGCCCCATTGTTCTAGGTACTGCAAAATGCAGAACAAAAAGGCACTCTGCAAAAATCTTATCATCTATGTGTAACACAACAGATGGATACAAAAAGAGAGGGAATACAAGGAGGCAAAATTGATGGGTATGATAAACAATGGTCTTAGCTCACCTGAAGTCACTTCCCTGTCAAGCTTTCTGTAGGCAGCATGGTAAAAGAGAGTTTTAAAGAGGGATTTGAGGAAAGCAATGAAGTGTTCTGTGGAAACTCATGGGAGCTTCTTCCAAGCATGAGAGGCAGCATACCAGAAAGAGCTCAAAGAAACTAGTTTGAAAATTTAACAGGAGGTTATGGATGCTGGCATGGGTCAGTCAAAGCTGGGACTTGACTTGTTTACTGTAAGTAGACAAGGTGGGTTGTGAAGAACTTTAGGCACATATGTTTTATGGTATTAAAAAAATATCTTTAGGTAGATATGTTTACTAGCAGATTAGGTGAAAGCAGTGAGATAGGTTAGTGCTCTTTGCAACAACATTCTTGATGAATACAGCAGTAATTGGGACATGGAAAGAGGTCCAATTTAAAAATGATTCACAGTTGTGGGTCCAGAGTAGAGTTTAAAAAAAAAAAAAAAAGAAAAGAAAAAGAGAGAGAGGGGAACTAGCAAAAGGCAAAAGGCCTTGTGGAAATCTCTTAGAAAACTGTCAAAGGGGTAAAAGGATCTTCTAAAGCACAACTAAACCAGGAGAATTGAGAGGAGACAAAATCATGAATGTTAGGAAGAATAAGTTTTCAAGAAGAACATAACAGTCAGTTACATTGAAGGCACGTGAAATGTCAAGGAAAATGTCAAAGATGAGATATAAACCTCAGTTTTGTTTAGGAAAAGGTTATTAAAAGCTGGTGAGTGGAATTTCTGTTTAGTGGCTAGAGCCCAGAGTGAAAAGAAACTAGGGTTGGAAAACCAGAGGGGAGAGGATTGCTAGACTGTCATAGTAAACAGCTGTAAATGAACTTGGAGATGAAAGGTAAGAGAAGCAAATTGTATGAGGAATGTTTCATTTCTTACAAGATGGATGAATTGAGCTGCACTTAAATAAGGGTGCAGATTGAATGAAGACACAAGCAAGAATATGCACCTAAGGGATCAGATGGGTCTACAACATGAAGTTGAAGTCAATGGATATAGGTGTGAAAATTTGTATAAGGAACAGAATGAATCATGAACTAACTAAATTCAGCAATGAAGTCTTACAGAGACTAGTTAGACAGTTAACAACATAAAACAGTGGCAGACCAAGGCAGGAGGTGGGGGGTGGGGGGAGGATGCAGTAATATTAAAAAAGGAAGTACATAAGGAAGTAAGTGGAAGGAGGAGTTAACTTGGCAGAAGTAGGAAGCTAGAAACATTATATTCCCACCACAGTCTGGTCTAAGGAGGACAGTCCTTAATAAGAAAATATCAGATGAAGAGGTCTGAGCTTCTTTGAGAACGGGAGCTGGAGGAAGTGATACATGAAGAGAATATGGATGCTCATGATCTATTTAGGGGCGAAACAGGCTTTTCAGAGATAGTAATAGAAGAGGATTAAAAAGGAAGGCATGAGTTTAGTAATAGTGGCTAGAAAGAGGGAGAAAGCAAGTCATAAAGACCAGGGAGAATCGAGAAGGTGGGGATAAAAGGAAGAAGCATACTGAGGCACACAAAGGGACAGAAAAAGGACAGAATGGATGTGAGAGCTGGACTTGAATTTGAGGGGAGAGTTGGAGGTGGGTAAATGAAGAGGAGCTCTGAAAACTGTAGAAAGGATAACATAACAAAATTATCAAATGAAATAAATGTCTGGATGGGAGGTGCAGATGGCACTCTGAGTCACTGGTGTTTCAATGTAAGAGAACACATGCAAAGACACATTGCCACAGATATTTCCACCTTGTTTAAGATAACAAAATTAATGGTCTCACATCAATTAATTTGTCAATTTCACATGAACATTTATGCAATTTCTACTGGGGTTTTTTTGCATCCCAAATTTAGTACTTTTCTCATTTAAAACATGAAATTCCTTTGTATGTGTGCACCAAACTTTGAAGCCACTGATCATGCTGAATACATTTGTCTTGATGGGGAGATAGGTCCATTTTCATTAAGAAACTTGAAATACAATTCATTTTAATTAATACACATTATTTTGATATTTCACACATAAATTCAGAATAAAAAACAGATCTCTCAAATTCTTACAGTTTCATCTTTGGCTGAAAGTATTATCTTGGTCATACTTTGATTTAAGATATTAAAGAATCTGTGGTATCTTTTGCAAGAATTGACCAAACTACTTTACAGGGTTTTGTTTATATGCTAAGTAGACAACAAAGGTGTTTAAGAGGTAATAATACTATGGTACCTGGTGTGGGGAAGAGAATCTCTTTTCATATGTCAGTCTATTCCCCTCAATGGAAAATCGGAAACCTTTCCTTTTGATGCTGTCCTCTGATTCAGATTTGTGAAATTCTTCCCCATCCTTCTCCTCGCCTTCAGATTGTTCTTTTTGCTTTTTTTTCTTTCTTCTATTCCTCCTCTCTTTAGCACTCTTTGAGCTCAGTTTTGATGCCTCAGAAGAACTTTCGGAGAATCCACCTACTCCACCTACTCCACTATAATCTCTTGAGTCAGCTGCTGCAGCTGCTGCTGCTGCCTATACGTACAAGCACATATGCAATTTACAACATTCATACAAACACACACCACTCACTATTTTAAATTTACTGCCATTCTTAAAAAAATAGTGATTTTGAAATAAAAGCAATGATCCCACTGCACTGAACCCAGCATATCAAAAGTATCATTTGTGAAATACCACAGGAACCATAATTTGCCACTGCTCCATAAACCAGGAGTTAGAGCAGCCCAAGGGAAAACTGTGCTGTCAGAGAACCAACTTAACAAGCATCTGTTTTAGACTGGAGCAATATGTTGCAATGAATTTTTCATCTGAAATACTATGCAAAAGTAAGGAATCAAGACTCAAACAACAGGAAAAATCCCTGTTAACAGGAAGCAACGCTTTCTTACCCCATTTTGCTGGATTTTGAATACTCGCTAGTCTATTAAAGATCTGGCGTAATAATGTTTATCTCAATTTTGCAAATCATAATCAGAGATTTCAGTTGAACTGCAGGCTATTAGAGACCTGCTTCTGTTTGAAGTTTTGAACATTTGTGTACCATTTGATTAACATTTATTTACAAGTAAAAAACCAACACAAACCAACTAACCAACCAAACAAAAAAACCCTGTTGCTGACTTTAGCCATGTGCTTACATGAAAGGCATAGTTTAACTTCTGCTCTGTGTGGCCACATGCCAAGCAGACATTATCAATTATCCTATTAAAGATTCCAGAGTCTTCAAAACTGAAAAGGAATTTCAAAGCAATATGTAATCATGATGTCTGTACCACAGAAGCTTTTTCTCCAGTTTCTCCACTTTTTCCAGTTTTCTTTAAAACTGGAACACTATGGCTTTCTCCTGTTAGAGCTGGGGAAGGAGTAGAAACAGCCAAATGTTGCTGAAGCAAAATAGTTCTCCCACAGCACCTATAATAGTTTTGCTTCTGTTACTTAAATAAGCAGAATTCCTGGGGTTTTCTTTCCCACGTCTCCATTCACAGAATCACAGAATGGTTGAGGTTGGAAAGGAACCTCTGGGGGTCATCATGTCCTACTCACTGGCACAGATAGGGTCATCTAAAGCAGGTTGCCCATGACCATGTCCAGATGGCTTTTGATTATCTCCAAGGATAGTGATTCCACAAGCACTCTGGGCAACTTGTTCAAGTGCTCAGTAAAAAAGTTAATTTCCATCCCCAGTTTGAAAATCCAGTATTTTAGCTTATTGGTTATAATTTTTGTCACAAATTAACAGGTTCGCTCAAGCCAGCAGAAACAGTGCAATGGAAAATATTAAAGATTGTTTGCAAAACAAAGGAATTTATAAGACTGGAGGTAATATATTGTTAGGAGTAGGGGAGTAAAAGTATTCCTATATGTGGACATAAAGCATCTGATCACAATCATGAATGGAAGAAGGAATTTTACTTTACAGGGATACCTGAGCTTCTTCCTGTTGCTTTTTCAGTTGTTCCAGCATTTGCTGAAATTCTGCTTCTTTCTGTTCTGCTTCTTCCATGGTTGCTTGATTCTGTTCTTCATAGGCCATGGCAACCACAGCCAGGATCAAGTTAATCAGGTAGAAAGAACCCAGGAAAATGACCAAAACAAAAAATATCATGTATGTTTTCCCAGCAGCACGCAGTGTCTGGGGAAAAAAGAGATAATACATCACTTTTAGCAGACTTTTAAATACTGTTGCATAATATGGTAGCATCTGTGTTATAATCTAGAAATACATTGTAAGATTGCTTTGTGTTAGCACAAAATTATTTGATTACTTTTTCCATATACAAATAGTATTATAACCTGCCTACATGTGCAAAAATCCAAGTTTTGTGTCTACTATAGTCAAGGTGAATAAGATTCTGTAGCTTGAATACTTCAGAACTTCTAACAATGAGAATCTGTAGTAGCAGTTGCTGCCCCCACTATAAGCCTGTATTATAGCCTTTAAATCTAACAGTAGTGGGGCCACTAACCAGCATCTTACCTTCTTGCCTCATCAGTCCCAAACTACAATGCTGCAAAGACAGTACAGTATACAAAATGTCATGCTGCACAACATCACTGTCCTTCAGGTTAAGGGTATGTGTAGTTCAGGGACAAGATGCAAGCTTTTCAAAGACAACATAGTTGTACTAGACTGCAAATCAATTTAACTAGCATCTATTTACAGCATGTTTGGGTAAGAAGCTTGAACAACTTAAGTTCATTTACTCAGTTGTGAAAAGAAACAATAATGCTTAACCACCTTCATAAAATATCAGCTATTTCTTGTTATGTATTTGAGTAACACATGGGAATCTAAATCATGAACAAGGCCTCTATTGTTTTAGACAGCTTACATATATGAAATAAAAGATGATTTCTGTCCCAAGGGCCTTAGGGACATGTGAATGAAAATAACTATGCAAGTACTATGTAGTAATGGTATTGGTGATGGTGCTGTTTATTTTAGTAAGTCCTCACCAGCTGGTAAAGATTCTCCCAAAAGTCCTGAGTCATCAATCGAAACAGTGACAAGAATGCCCAACTGAAAGTATCAAAACTTGTGTAGCCATAGTTGGGGTTTCTACCAGCTTTCACACATATATATCCTTCTGGACATTGACTACAAAAGAAGAGGAAATGCTATTTTTAACAACTACTCTAAATTACGATATGCTATAGTAAATCACAAAATTGTTCAGGAGTACCAGTTGCTAATGAAATTATGAACAAGTAAATTTTATTCTACATGCCTAAGATAAAAATATATGTCTTAGTGGTTTTCAATTTTTAATTCCATTCCCTAATGATATTTCAAACCTTTAATAATATAAATAATAGTAATCTACCCTTCCCCACAATTTGTCATATCCACACATCTCCACCAGGACAAGAGAAGAATGTCAACTAGCATGGCTGATGATAAACAGTTGTCAGCAGGCTGGCAGCAACATTTATGCACATCGCGTTCATGTGGTTACCTTTACAAAATTAGCCTAAGATACTGAAGAAATTGCCTGTGTCAACTCAAATCACATAGATGGTTATATTTAGGTATAGCTTCAATTGCAAAACATCATTAATTTGCAACTCTGTGGTACAGTTGATACTAAAGTTGACCACCTGAGCTATTCTAAGTAGCAGATTATTTTTTCTTGATGCATAATGAAAAATGATGACTGTTTTCTTACCCTGCATCTGAGCTATTGCCACACAGCAGAGCATCATTTTGTCCTTCCAAGAAGTAGAAATGATCTGGTTTTAAAAAAATAAATTAAAAAGGTGATGAGAAAGACATTGTTTATATCTAATGGAAATTGAGCAATTATATAGGCTTTTACATTTTAAAGAAATAAGCAGAACTAACAAACAGTTTAACTGCAATATATAATGATTAGGAATGAAAAATCATGAAAAATACTGTTTTGACAGGAAAATTACTTTCTATAGAGTGTTGAAGTTGGCCTTTCTTTAGAAAATAGAAAGGTAGTTGTACAGCTAATTCTCAGTAACCTACCCAGATGAGTAAGATACAATGGGTAGATTACCAAATTGTGTATGTCAGCAAGTGAACAAATACGAGGAAAACAAGACAAAGGATGAGGGAAATTCCCTGCCTTTATTCATGCATTTCGATATATACCATTTAGTGTTACTCATTTATAATTATTCATTACGTACTATTTTCTCCAAATATTACTTGAAAAAGTACTGAAATTTTTGCAGCATGAAAACACAACACAACATGCACAAGAAATTGCTAAGTGGACCTTGACTTGAGCACCTGAGGGAGAAACCAGGCTTTTATTGTACGTTACAAAAAATTACGACACCAAATTCTATAGCAGAGGAATGTACTTGAAGTATTTATATGTATTTTGTTAATAGGCTAACTATTAAAATGAAGTAAAGGATCATTTAAAGAGGTGGAAATCTTAAAAGCCCCTGGCACATTCTTTTCTTCTCTTTGTTTTGCTTTGAGGCAGAAAGGGAAAACCAATTTGCCATCAATTCCTGGTTTGGGATTCTTATGGTAAAATGGGAGTCTCTAGTGGAGATTTTTGGGTCAGGTGGCATATTAAGCTAAAGTTGCCAAAATTAGGTATGTTCTGGCTGTTCCCAGGAAGCAGATGGTTCCTTGAGATTCACTGCCAGCTGGCATGGACTAGCTTAGCTGGCATGAACTAACCGAGGGCTAATGCTAAAGAGACAAGCAGGGAAATGCAACCAGTTCCTATTGACTGCTTCTACTCTGTCACCACCAGTATACGATAGAGACAGCATAAAATCTGCTTATTTTAAAGAGAGAGAGAGAGATTATATGCCTAATTTATGCATCTGTAATCTATTCTTAGATATCAGATAAGGAAACAGTGGATTTTCAGACATTCCAGTGCTCACATAGTCATGCCCTGTGAGAGATCTAACACCTACTTAAAAAGCTTAAAAAGTTTAAAGATGCAGATAGGCACCAAGCTGGATTTTCAAAATTGGCTGTGGGCCTAATTCACATTCTTATGTGGCACAGCTCCTCCTCTGGTAAGCAGAGGATCCAGTTAAACTATCCAGTCAGCTCAACTTTCAGCCCGCTATTCTGGAAAACATTTAAATAATGGGTTTTTCAATACAAAGATGATAATGATAAAGTAATAAAAATAGTCAATATGAGTTTATAAAAAATATGCAATATATAAAACCACTCCTGTCTCCTGCCAACTTAATAACAGGACAACAGTCATGTGTACAAGTCCTACAGGACACTTTCATAAACAAATATGAGAGATATGTTCTGGCTGGAATCACCACAAAATATTTGAAAAAAGATTCTCAGAGAGCAGTTGCCAGTGGCACAATGTCAATTCATAAGGGCATCTTTCTGAAGATCCTCCAGGGATCTGTGCTATACACGGTTTTCATAACAAGTTTCATTACCAACTCAAGACATGAAGTAATAGAACAAAATGCATCAAGTATTCTTAAGACATCAAGCTAGGAGAGAAGATGATTGAAATTTAGAATGACCTTTACAAACTGACAAGCTGGTCCAAAAGCAATTGGATTTATTTCAACAGAGACAAGTGGAAAATGCTACAGTTGACAAGGCAAAATCAAATACGTAAATGCAAAATAGACAGGATCTGGCCACAGCCACTGCTGTACAAAAAGATGCAGTGACTGTCACGAACTGCAAGTTGACTGTGAATCAACAATAGGGTGCTGATATAAAAATGATGTAATTTTGAGATGTGTTAATAGGAATGTTCCATATAAGGCACATGAGGTAATTACTTCTAATTTGTACCTTTATTAGAGGAGTAAGTACCAGATTTAGGGATATCATTAAAACAAAAAAAAAAAAAAACCAAACCCAAACAAAAACCAAAGCAAGAAACCCAAACAAAAAAGAAAAACCGAAATCCCAGACTAATTGGAAAGAGTCAAAAAAAGAAAAAAAAGTTAAAATAGATATAGAAAATGCAAAACAGAAAATAGTCTTGCTTGGTTTAGAAAAGACCAGAAATAAAGAAAATAACAGTTTTAGAATTTCATAAAGTAGTCTACGATTATCTTATTTCTAAGTCCACAGGAGTAGTAGTAATACATTCAGTCTGAAATTAGGAAAAATTAGGTCAGATATTTAGAAAAAACTTTGTGTGATATAGTACTAGAAGTGGATAAAAGGGAATGGAATGGAGTCTGTTTTTCAGATGTTTTTAAGAATAGATAATCATCCAAAATCTTCTGCAAGACGACATTTCTATGATACCACAAGCATGCTGAGATGATAAGTATATTAAAAGATTATAAGGCAATGAGACTTGGATCCAAAAGCATTTAGCTGTTAAACTGACATTTCCTAACTTTCAGTGATACAGGCATCAGTTACAACATTTATACAGACTTTATAAAAAACCTAAGATTATGGTTAATTACGAAGTTAAAACCCTAAATACACTAAAATAAATAGGAGAGACTGAATAGATGAACAGGAGAGACTGAAGCTACTTATCATTCTGAAAGAATAGCAATATACTGTAGATATGTTCAGAGTAGTTCTATCTGAATTTTAAAACAATTTTTGTTAACACAGTAGTGATGTTAACTACCTAAAAAGGTGAAAATACAGTGTTCTGAGGTACAAAGGAGACCAAAATGCTAATTTCTTCATTTTCCACAGATAAGAAACAAATGAAAAGATACATAATATGGAATCTAGTTCTTATTTTGCTAGAACAAGAAGCATGGGATAAATTACCAGTACTGTCATAAGGCATGTCTGTGCTGTGCAAAGGAGTATGGTCCAGAGACACTCACCAAGTTCCAGAAGAAACAATGCAGCTGCATTTACATGCTATGGCAGGATTCATGAGCTAACTGACGTTCAAATGTGGATTTATGATATTGGGCATTATCTTGTAGTAACGTAGCTATACAATTTCAGATCCCATATTAGGACTGTCACTATTTCAGGAGGCTTGAAGCTAGCATGGAAATTTCTGCTTTGTGCTGCAATGTGGATTTACTCTAAAAGTCATATTCAGTAAAAGGTAAAAAGATATTTTGGTACCAAGTACAATATTATGAGTATGTTAAGCTACATTATGACTCTTATTTACTACACAAAATAAGTGCTTTTATGTCTCTTGGCCAGATTACACCGTTTTAATTGCAATGGAAAGATACTGATGCTTTTGTATCTGTTTAAAAAAATTCCAGAAAAACAATGCAGTAGATGATATAATTAACTCTTACTTCTGTCTTCGATGTACTCATCCCAGTTAAATGTTGTCATTGTTGTATTAATAAATGTACCATTTTCACCTATAGAGCTATTAAAGTAGGAAATAACAGTTGTTTCAAAAGTAGAATTGTCTGGAGGCCACTGCAGGCATTTATTCCTCAAGTTGCCCATGAACAGCTGCAGCCCTATTAGTGCAAATACACTCAGACAAAACACAGTCAGGATCATTACGTCCGAGAGCTTCTTCACAGACTGAATTAGGGCTCCCACGATAGTCTTCAAGCCTGCAAAGAGAAAAGATTTTTATTATGATGCTAAGCAGATACTAAGCACACACACACAAAAAATCATGTGATTTTTCCTGACAAGATAAAGATTTCATGCAAAACGACAACTAAATGAGTCTAGTATTTGTGATACAATAATTTTCATGAAAAGCCTTATTACTTGTGAAGATGAATGAAAAGCAGTAAGTTTATGCTTATTTTATAGTGTACAGAAATAAAAAATAGATAATACCAAACACATTGTTTATGCCAAAACAAGTGATTTTATTATTCATGCTATATCCCAGACCTACATAGAAAAGCATCGTTTGCTTTTGCTGATGCTTCTTGCCCAAACCTTTCTTATATGAACCTTTTAAAAAGTATTCTGCATTAGTAAACCCATTATAAAGACACTGTAAGTGCATATTTGAATGATATCCTCATAATAATCTTCTTACAATATAACAGGGGTGATGGTTTGGAGAAGAAAGACATCTTTAAAACAATACCCCATGCATGGCCCATGCTATCCTTTAGAGTTTAGTTTTTTATACATGACTTAAAACTGAATTAAGTTGCTATATCAAGTGCCTGCAATAAATGATAAAATTTGCATCAATATGAAAGCTTAAAATTAACTTATATTTAAAACATGTAAAGGAAAGCTTGATGTCATAAGATGCAAATCACATAGGCTGTTTACTGCAAATATCTCATGCAAGAATTTGTTAAACTCAAAGGCTGATTTTTTTGAAAAGAAAATACAATTAATATAAGAAAAGCAAGAATCAATTTAAATAAAATTACATTTCTTGATTCCTGCTTTTTTATTTTATTAAAAATGTATAGCAAATAAGGCGTATGCTTTAAAAACGTAGAGTACAGCCTTTGTGGAACAAAAGTCAGCCTCAGTGTTTAACCTAGCTCTCACCTGGAATGACTGATATTGTTTTCAAAGCTCGGAGAACTCTGAATGTTCTCAACGCTGAGACATTGCCCAGGTCCACAAACTCTGTCACATATCTGTAATAGGGGAGTTCACACACAAACACAATGACAGCACACAAATAACAGTTGGAGATATGAGGGGCCTAACACCTTACACCAACTTCTTCTTACCTGGGATTACAGAAATAGTTTTCAAAGCTCTCAATACTCTGAAAGTTCGAAGAGCTGAAACATTGCCTAGGTTTACAAATTCTGTTACATACCTGTAGAATTAAATCACAGTTACTCAGAATTGAGGCAGATTTTATCCTGTTTGCTTGGGTCTTTGATCAAGACCTCTTCACCGTTCGCTGTATTTTGCCTGTTATAAATATGCTTCTGACCATAAAATTAAATTAAGTTTTATCAAAATAAACCACATTGACTTGATGTTTGAAACCTAATTTGGTCAGCTTATAGCAGGAAGTCAAAAGGATTCCTTTAATTCTGGTATGCAGAAAGGAGACAGGATATGAACAGTTCAGGCTGATGGCATTCACAATCCTAACGGGCTGGCACACCATGCTGGCCTCTGAAGCACATGCTTAGTTAGAAATACTAAAATGTGTAAAAGAGGTAGAAGAAACATATTGAAACCGCAGGAAGTCCAGGCTCCAAATGTTCTGGCTGACAAAATATGAGGGAATTTTTAGTCACTAATTTCATGCTATCAGAAAGATTTAAAAAAAAAAAAAGTAGAAGACTTACGCAAATGTAATGACAGTGAAATCTAGCCAATTCCATGGGTCTCGAAGAAACGTAAAATCTTCTAAACAGAAGCCCCTTGCAAGAATTTTAATAAGTGATTCAAAGGTATAAATTCCAGTGAATGTGTATCTGAGGAAAATATGCAAGACAGAGTTTATAGAAACACATACATGTTATCATTACACATTACGCTCTCTAGTTGCTTTACTCTCATCTTCTTTAAGTGGCATAAGAATTTAATGGAAGTTAGAACCAACTTTAAACATCTGCAGAATTTATACCATAAGTAAGAAGGAGGAATCAAATTATGATTAAAATACTAAATGACAACACATAGCCTAAGTTCAAATTCTATAATCTATACCAATGAGACAGTTGCAAAATTCCCAGTTATGTCATTGGTGCATGTTTATGTCCAATCTGAATCCATGTTATAACCAAACACATGGATGGATTATGTTAGGATTTCAGAATTTGCTTCCAGACTAAAAATTTCTTTCTTCAATGCTATTTTTATGATGAAATGTTGCTTAGTACCATAAGCTGGCAATGTGCCAACCCTCCTCAGCCCTCATTTATTTTGTTACAGAATAGGTGTATCCAGTACTTCACCTTCAGCAAGACAGGCATAGCACTGGAATGAAACAAGTGTTTTCAGATGCAAAATCCTCTGCAAGAACAACCAGAAATATTTACAAATGACAATAAAATTCAGCTACTCATTCTGACTAAAAAATATGGTTAAAAAGTAAAAATATTTAATTCTGGCATTCTGAGTAATTTCAATTTTCTATCTCCAAATTATGTCATCTTGAAATTTAGTTTCATTTATATCTTTAATGGAAAAGAATTCAAATTAAACTGCTTACAGGGCTCGAAAGGTTTTCAGACTTGAGCTAACCTGAAACCACTTTTCCAATGTGAATTTTTTCAGTTCAATTACTAAACCAAAAATTTCTTTCCTGCACAACTTTATGGAACAGATGAGGAGGACTTCTGTTTTATATTGAAATGGCACAATATATGAAGAAATATGCAAGCTAGCTATCTTTATTCATAAATATTTACTATATGCTAGATGTCCTGAATACATATACATTCATATTGAACTCAAAATGAGAATGCCTCCACTAACTTTAATAGCCCTATGATTTGACTTTTGATTACTGAAGATTAAACAGGTACGTATCATCCAAAGCAATTAGGAATGAAGAAGAAGCAAAAGCATAAAATGCTACTGCAAAGATGAAGCATGATGAAGAGCAGTATTTCACACTGTGGTCTACAGCCTTGGAACTATCACAAAATATGCACCAATTGTATGTTGTCACCAAGTAGTTGACATCATATTGGACCTTTTCCTACAGGAAGAATAGCCAACCACTTAAAACACTTTTTAATAGCTTATTTTTCATACAAGCTTTCCATTGTTAGATTGTCTTTGGTAAAGGAAAGCTGCACTATGGTGAACATAGAAATCCATTTGATGATCCCTTCATCTACAGTGGTTATTGCAATAGAGATGGAAAAGCGTATTTCCCAACATTCTTGCACAGACATAACATAGAATGGAGTGGAAAATATTTATAATCCACTTTTTTGCATGGTCATAAGACTAGCTTCTCTTCTTACATTCCCCATCTAGTACTGCAAACAGAGGATGGACATTGAACAACTTGTAATGAGGGAAGTGTTGTAAAATACATGTATTTAATCTTACACAGAAGAAACTAGCATCAGAATAGCTGTTGAAAGGATATGCCAACAAGGTAGCTGCTGCCAGTGGATGCCATCCTAATATAAAATAATTTACAGCAGTTTATTTCAGATTATTGAATATTATTCCAAGAAAATCCATTTAACTTACTCTACATTCTTTGTCCAGTCTGGAGGGTTACTCATGGTCATAAATACACAGTTGGTCAAAATAGTGCACATGATAAGCATGCTGAATAATGTAGGTTAAGAGTTAAGGAATGTAAACCAGAAAATCTCATAAAAGGAGTATCAAATAACACGCTGCTTTGGCAGATTTCCACTATCAGGAGCTATTTATCCCTTCACTGCTCTGTTAACACTCAGGGAAAAGCCCTGAATATGTTAAAGCTTCCATAGTCACTGCTTCATGTCTAAAAGAGAACGATGACATACTAAAAATTAGAAAATCTTAAAGATATAAAAAACCCCTACCCAACCCTTCATTTTAAGACCTTAGGTGATTTTTTCTTTTGAATAAAAATGTGAAAGTTTGAAGTAGTAGCTTCTAATTTAGTGGAATAACACAAAAAGCATTTGTTTTGGATGATCTAGACAAACCTGATCTACTTCATGCATACAAAACAATGAAAAATACATTTTCTTCACTTTTCTTCTTTTACGTTCACCATAAAATTTGGCATGTATCAACATTTTTGCTTATCATTATAATACATATATTGAAATCTAGTTATCACATAATAGGAGAGACCATAGGAAAATTTTAGGGAGAAAATTATTTTTTTACTGTTTACTTTATATATGGCTTTTGTAATATAAATGTTGGTGGAGGGGAAGGCATATTATCCTCTCAAAAAAAAGATCTAAAAGTAATTCCAGAACAGGTCCAAGTCATAAATAACTTCACTGATTTTAACACAACTGCTCTGGATCTACAACCTTTCACTCTCAGGACTGATGACATTCTTCTTAGAAATGAAAATACAAACACCAAAATGAAAACCACACAGATGATGCACAAAATGTCCACATGATGGCAACATCACCTAAAACTAGAAAGAGGACAAAGCTCGATTTTGAGAAGAGCTTTAGCTTGTGTAACTACAATGCAGGTTCACACGGTGCTCCTAAACAGAAATCCGAGCATAATGGGGTGGGAACTACTGTGAGTTTCCCCTCACAAAGTTTTCTTTGCATGTCTACATTAATGAAAAAAAAACCTAAAGTGACAGTAAATACCTCTACCTTCTGAACTGTCAAACAACTGTGGCATTACACACAACAATTCTTTGGGTTTTCTGCTCAGTAAACATATTTCAAATGCTTTACTCAGAATCTAGCTTCTCACTATATAATTCATATATGAACAGAGCAGAAAAGAAAGGTATTTTAAAAAACATTAAAAAAAATGTGTTTTAAGAGTGTTTCACAAGCTTGCATTTTACATAGGTTTTCAAAATCCTTTTTCATTAAATGTCCTCTCAGAGTTGCAAATCTTCACTATTCTTTCATCAGTAGAGAAATAACTAGAATATACCTTTCCACAATTGCAAACGTTTTTTAACATTCTGACTTCGGGGACTCTAGCTCTTCACCACCATCTCAGTCCCATGATCTTCCACTTTTCCATGTAACTGAATAATGCTCTATAACATGCTAAGCAGTGTCAGATAATTGACAAATAATTATTTGTAGTGACACCTGTAGCAAGCAAATACAAAACAGGTTGTGTAGTGTTATGATTGATTCTGAAGTCATTTGTAGGCTAGCCATTGACAACAGCATCCAACACTTAACAACCATTGCAATTATCAGACTTCCATTACACCAAGATTTAAAAAAACAATCCTTTCAGGATTTATTGTACATGATCTTAGGATCCCTATATGTAACGCTACACAAAACTGCTTTCATTGTGCTTTTGTTAGACTCTTGTAAAATGTAAGTGTGCAAACATTTGTATTCGTTCCTTAAGCAAGCAGACTTGCTGAAGTCCATGCCCACATTGCTTGTATCAGCATTTGGGATCAGACCAGTGGGATGCCTGCTATACTCAGCTACCAAAACACTGAAAAAGGCAAAATACTAGGTAAGTCACTGTGATCATTTAGCTTTGCAAATCTCTATCTGCAAGGTGGAAATCTCACAACCTGCTTGAAGACTGAAATTAAAACTTCTACAGGATTATGAGTGCATAATGCAATAATGATAAAGAAATAAAATAGGCATGTAAGATACATGTAGGACTGAGAATGTATAACAACATAAGAAAACTAAAGTGTTTTATCAACCTATCCTTCTGCAATTTTGATCTGAATCAGAAAATGAAAAGGAAGAATGAAACCATATTTTCACTAAATACTCATGCAAGCACAAACCTGGGATCAAAGATTTGATTTTTAACACAAAGTGTCAGAGAGGAACTGAAATTATTTTGAGAAATATATCTGCAGTTTATGAAAAATGTGGAGGAAGGGAAAAGATGAAAAAAGATGTGATGGTTATAGGAAAAATAAGAGGGAAGGGAAAAAATAGGTGCAGGAGGAAAAAAGACACAGGAAGAAATTGCAAAGAACAATGACTGGTTGTCTGGCTTCTGATATTACTATATTAAGATCCAGCAATGAACACAAATGTAAAAAGGGAATAAGAAAAAGAACAGAAGACAGAAATAGTAGAGAGAAGAGGGACAAAGCACTACGGATCATATTGATCCTGGGACATGTGCCAGAAAATGAGTTAAACACTAAGTAACATCTGATTCACTACAGTTTTAGACTAATCACTTGAAAAGGATATGAATGTACCAAAATCTTAATAGCTATTTTTCTAAGAGGATTGAAAGGAGTTAACATGTACAGGGCAGAGGTGGCACTGAATCGGAAGATTGCCTTCCCTTTATTCAATACTATAAAGGTCTGGAAAAAGAAACAGAATGAAAAATAGCATTTTAAAGATACCAAATTACAAACAAGTTACAAGTTCAAACCCAGAACCATTTTCATTTCATCATTAATCATAATTGGTCAAACTCTTCTTCTATTTACACCTCCCCCAGAATCATAATCCCCTTCTCTAGTTCAAACATAGTAAAGTCCTGACAAATTACTATAATTGCATGAAAACATTTGAATAAGTTTATTTAGAAATCATAAGTAATCCTGATATTGCTAGCTAGAAAACAAAGTCAGTATATAAGGTATAAATGTATTTAATATTTGAATATATGAAAAAATAATGAGAGCCATTAAAACGTCAACATTCCCTGAATCAAATAACCAGCATTAATTTTCACATCAAAGTACTACAACAATAGTGCTACAAAGTGATTTGAATTTCAAGAGTGATCTTCATGAAAATAAGGAAATTGAGAGTGTTCAATAACTAGTTTTTCAACGTAACACTAATGTACTGGATAGTTTTTTCTGTACTCTAAGAAAAGATAACATATTGCTTCTCTTTTCAACTATTTCTTGTGGGAGTTTCATACCTACAATTCTGTCTATTTTTTCTTATGTCATGCTTTACTTTTACCTAATACAGAATTCAATAATCCATGTATTTTCACTGCCTCTCCACAGTTTCAGCAATAACTCATGCATACTGCCAACATTAAAAAAAGCATTTATAAATGTAATAGTTTTCTTAAAACCTGGGAAATAGAGAAGACTAAAGCTTTTATTTAACATGCAGTAAATTTTTTAAGTATTTAGATTTCCATGCATTTGGGGAAATTCCTATCTATTTCTGTCATCTCTTCTTTCTACACATGGGTGGAAGTTCATGCTCATTGAACGTAAGTGGATCTAACTAGCATTGTGGCAGCCCTAAAAAACCCAAAGGGAACATAAGCCATGCCAACCTGGAGCACTGCCAATAGCCCTGATCTGCCTCAGCTGGAGTCAGAGGGCTGCATTTGTAAAGATTATGCTCTACCTTCTGAGCAGGTGTGTCAAACACAGCAGCTGAAATCCTGAAAACACAATGCCTCCCCCTGCCTGAAATGATACATTTCAGCTCTTCCAAACTGAACATATTTGCATTCCCAGACACCCATTGATTCTCAAGCCATATGTTGGTCCTTGCTGTACAGAAGAAAGGATTGGTCTGTAATGTACTATCCTTGCTACCACTGCTTTTCAACTCTATTACTATTCTTCTTGGAGTTCAAGAAAATCTGCCCTCAAATTAGAGTTTTTCAAATGTTTTCCGTTCCCTTTACTCTGACAAAACCTCTGATGAAACATCATTTGTGTGATGCTGACTCATCAAGACATATTAAAAAATTAAAATGGAGCCTGACCTAAACAAGGATGATCAAAGATATGCAAAGAACTCCAAGAAAAATAATAGGACAAATTATGACTGCAACGCACGTATAGTTTGGAGTCTTATATCTCCCACTAGAAACTACTATACTTTTGGAAAAGATCAAGACAACTGCTATGCATTTCTCAATCAGGAGCAAGCAATTTTAGGATTTTACTTCACGGCCACAGTTAATTGCAGAATTACTTTTCTAGTTTCCAAAGCATGATAATACATGTGCTGACTTTAGGATTTCCAGCACTGAATTTAGATATTTACTACTGCAGAACAGGGAAAGAAGGAAGGAAAGGGATCAGCACTTTGACTCAAATTCCATTTGCTTTACTTCCAGACTTCAACAGGTTACATAGCTTGAGCAAAGGAACCAGAACAAGATATTTAATTGAAAAACTTGTTTTCAAATTTAACTTACAATTCTCCATAGCATGAATTGAGTTTTAGAAATTCTGCAATGAACATTTAAGGTACAGCTGATTTTTTTAAAGCTGTTCTCTCTGTTTAGTTTATCATGGTATGCCTATAATGTTATTGTTTCAACATATTAGTGATGAGGCATAAGCCTAATTCTTGCAGGAAATCTGGGTTTTTTTACATAGTTCAAGTTTGACTCGTAACAATTCCTGGGGTGGGGGGGTTTCTTCCTTTTTCTTTGAAGTAGTTTTTTTGCTTTCTTGGTTTTTTAAGATTCACTTGGTTTTATTCAATAGCTAATTTCCACAGGAAAGAAAAGAAAGCGCAAGAAAAAAATTATGAAGACACAAAAATAAAAAAAAAACTTGGTAATTTCTTCTTTACTGGTAGAATAATGATGGTGCAATACACATGATGCCAAAATATGAGGGACTGGAATTCTGGAGGAAACCCAGGGCCATCTGGTCAAAAGTCTAAAGTTCAGCACTTTTATGCTTGGCCGTAACAGTTGTTGTTACTTCCAACAAAAAGAAAATATGTGGGTTTATTTTTTTTTTTAAAATGAATATCTTTATAAAATATTTTAAAAATTACTTAACATTCTGTCGACACTCCAAGAGGAATTCCTACCTCCTCTTTATTTATTTCCCTCTTCTAAACACCTCCTCTTTGATAACAATCAGAGAACAACATAAATCTGAATACGAAAAATTTTTCACCTAGACGATCTAAGTCAGATATATGATGCCTCTATAGAATACAAAATGGAAGAGGAAGATCTTCAGCATAACCTGAGAAATTACCTTTGCATACTTCCCTACCCTTCCCAGCAACAAGAGAATGCAACCTAGGCTTTCCATGTGACAGTGAAGAAAGCTAGTAGAAGGTGTCTAGCTACCTTTGAGATGGGTTTCATAGTGAAGATCCACTCCTTTCACATCTATAATACAGCAATTAATAAAATAATAATTCTAAAGATAACCCCGTGCTACTTCTTCAATTCTCCTGTGTGTAAAACACTGAAAGTTACAAATTAGTAAAATACCAGGTATATTAAAATAAACCTAAATGCATCTTTACCTACAGACCAGGTCCCACAAACTTCCATTACTAACTTCCGTTCTTACAATTGAGATTTCTGCCAATTAAATCAGCTGGTGGGGGAATGCAGTATATGTAAAGACTGGGTCCAAAATACTGGAAATACTACGCCTGTAAGAGGGTTCCTTGTATTTTAACCTTCTTAAAGTCTGACAGAAGTATACAACACACTCACTTTTTTATTGATATAATAGGGGTCCAGGTCTTCCAAGGGCTCAGACACCATTCCTGGAGGTATGTCGCCATAAATAAACGGCAGTGTCTTTCCTGCCTCCAAGTCACTATTCGGCTTTGGGCCATCTTCATCATCATCATCTTTGCGTTCTTGTTTGGATTTTTTAGCTTTTTCTTCATTGACACGCTGCTCAATAGCTGCAAGTGATTCTCTTGTGAAATAGCGGAAGCTGTCAGGTCCTGGTGGTACCAGCACTGATTGTGCCATCTTTTCATCCTGCACCTCTTAATTACTGTTTAGCCTCTCTCATAAAAAAGTGCTAAAAACATGAAAAACACAGAAAAAATTTAGAGCAACACAAATAGCTACAAACAGAGGAATATTCCTTCATAGAATTTTCTGTGGGACATCTTGCTAAATTCAGTAATTATCATCCAAGAGGAGGCTGCTGTGAAATGGATTTTTTTCATTTGTTTTTATTTCAAGACAAACCATTTTCCTTTGCAGCTGGCCTCATAGAGTTGTCTTGAAGGTATCAATTCTTAAAATATTTAGTTTAAAATTCATTTAGTGCTTGTGATGATATATTGACAATTCCTATAGGCTGCATAAAAAAAGTCACATACAATATAATAACATCTTGCCTTTACCAAGGGTAATGCTATCCATTCCAGTGAATAAAGTAGTAGATATTTTCCACTACATTCAGTGTGAGGAATCAACAGTTCTGAAGTGTTTCTGGTTTGGTGTTGAGACGTGAGACTCCACACAATTCACCCCTTTATTATCCTGAAAGCTGCACCTTGGACCAACCCTCCCTCTAGCTAGAAGGACCAGAAATGACTCCTAGAATCCACTACTGCCATGTAAGGCCAGAGGGATCAGTTGAAAGCACTTTCTGGGTACAAATATGCTGCCTTTGCAGAGCTGCCAGCTCAGGAAACAAGATTCAGACATAAGCACCTGTATTCAGATCCCCTGCCTGGCAACACACTGTGCCCTGGAAGAATTGCTGAATTAAACAAAAATGATCTTTAATCATTACATACTGCGCTTAGATCTTTTATGTCTGATACCATATCAATTGTATATATTTTCCACAATTTTCACTAACAAGAGTCGAACCATCTCTTCTTAATGTCTCCAGACAGTTCAGTTAAAAAGAACAAGTGGAAAATATTCCCAATGCAAATACTTTGATCTGAAATCATAAGCAAGATCTCTGGTGTAGCCTTCAAAAATTTTTCTCAAGAGTCCTTCTCCTGAGTAAGCACATTAAAAACATAGCAAATGCAATAAAAAAGTAACAACTTCTGAGTAAGACAATATACCCAAGAAACAATTATCAAATTAAAATGATACAATAGAATACAATCAGCATGATACTATTTCACCGTCTTGCTAAATACACATACTCCAGGACAGCTACAATAAATTCATATTTTTGAAGCCTGCTAAATAAACTGCAGCATGATGCCTTCTCCTCTTTTCAACCATATGCACATAGCCGTTTACACCTACACAGACATCCACACACATCCCAACTCCTGCAGGTCTCCCTATGAGCATGCTCTTCCATTGCAGGCAAATGCACCTGGTGCATTCTGTCATGGACGGTCCGTAGCAAACTGCTGCTGGAAGCCGCACTGACTAGTAGCAGCAGAAGGGTCAATTAGGAAAATTAAAATGGTCCTGCTGCAGAATCCTATTAGATTTTATTGTCAATTACAGGAAAAAAAAGGCATAATCCTGTTTTAATACTGCAGGAAAGAATTAAAAATTCATTACCAGTGAAGAGTCTTGCACTTATGTGGGTTTGGAATAGCACCAAGGAAGACTGCAGCTAAAATTCCATCATGTCTTTTCCTTTTTCTTTTTTTTTTTTTTTTTTTTTAAAAAAAAA